CCCCAAAACCCCAAAACCCCAAAACCCCAAAACCCCAAAACCCCTAGCTTGTTATAATAAATTGAAAGCCATCAATTATTCAGTTTGATTTATTTTTGGTCTATTCTAACTGGGGTGGGAAGAAATTACTCTCAACATCATCAAGATCACCACCAAAGCGCTTCTCGAGGTTATAGGAAGGAATGACTTTCTGGATATCTGCCTCATAACCTCCTCCATACATTGAAAGCTTCTCTTGAGTGAATTTATCTCACATGCCTTTGAACAGCTTCCATAAGGCTCTGATCATGAAAGGCATATTGATAGCAAAGAGTTTGTAAAGTCTTCCTCTGAAATTACTCTGAAGAATAGAGACCATTGATTGAAGTTTCTTCTTGGGGATTTGAGTCACGCCAACATCTTTGAGGTCTAAGATGACAGTCCAGTTCTCGATGGCACCAGGCCTCATATATTTTTCTGTAGGAGGTCATTAGCCAAAATACTTACTTGTCACATGGTCTGCCATTGCTAATGTGACCTTAAGAAGAATGTCTTCGTCAAGTTCAGTTTTGACTAACTTCTTGACATTGATGATTCAGACTGGTCTAAAATGAATATCAGTTTTATAGAAGTAGACCATCCCGCTCTGAAGAGCTTCTTCAATACTATCTATATCAACTGGGAGGTTCTTGGTATTGAATTCGTGATTCTCAAGGATTCCTTCAAATGCCTTTTTAGAGTCATAACCGCAACCCTGATAATATCTGAAACATTCACGCTCATCGTATCCTTCAGGAAGGGACAGATTGTTTTCAGTAAGGTAGTTGGTGAACTCTTGGATGAGTTCTTTCTCTTTGTCTTCATACACCAAGGGCTCTCCGAAGATAAGTCTCTGTTTTTCTTTTCCAGCATGGACAAAGATGTCCTCCTCGCTAGGGATAAAGGTATCTTTTGTGATAGGCACATAGTTCATACCCAGAGCCCCAGCTCCGATAAAATTCATGCCTAATCCTGTTCCAATTGTTTCCATTTATTTTTAAGAATTAACACTCAATTTTATGTTTTGTCAATGGGGTTTTGGGGTTTTGGGGTTTTGGGGTTTTGGGGTTTTGGGG